GAGCCCCACATCGGGCTTCCTGCTCAGTGAAGAACCTGCTTCTCCCTGTCTCTCTCTGCTGCTCCCCCTGCTTTTGCGTTCTCGCTCTCTCTCTCTCTGTCAAATAAATCCTTAAAAAAAAAAAAAAGATGGGGAACTGCCAGATTAAACTTGAGGTAACGGGAGCCCGTAAATGGATATCCGAGCACTAAAACCAGTTGTTTCCTGAGACATTTGCCAGAACACAAATGGGCTTTGGTTCATCAACTCAAAAGAACAGGGCAAACAAGAAGTTAAGGCCCAGAGTATGTGAAAGTTGTGAAGTCTTAGAGACTTTGCTCTACACTAAGTAGGGACCCCCAGAGGACTTCCCCACTACAACTAAATCAGCTCCCCTTCCTCCAGACTCCAGAGAACTGTGGAAATAGCTGCCTTGGCAGTGGGCAGAGTAGAAGATGGAAAGGAAAAGGGGTAAAAAACACATCTCTGAGAAGTTGTGGCCACTGACCAGCCCTCTTGCAGATTTGGATCCTGATTATTCCTTGCACAAGTAGGCCAGGGAATTTCAGTGAATTTGGTTTAGGTAGTGCCCTCCAGGAACCTAGCAGAAGCAAACATAAAGCTTCTCTGGAAGATGGCATATCCATCCTAAGCAAATCATTCACTCTACAAATCATTTTCAAGGGCAATAACCACTGAAAAACAACCAGGGCACACAAGAAAACACAGCAGAGAGAGAACCAACAGGAAAACAAAAACAGCCGCAGAAATAAATTGGCATAGTTTTCACAGATATAAATATGTTTACCAAGCTTAATGAAATAAACAAGCTTGAACAATAATTACAGACAACATTATACTGTAAAAAATTGTAGCAGATTTGGGGGGGGGGAATAGGACTTCTAGAAAAGAAAAAAGTAACCAAAATAAAGAACTCTGTCAACATTTTAGCAGCAGATTGGATTTTGCAGGAAAGAGAATTGGTGAATCAGAAGATAAAAGAAATTGCCTGTGGGACGCCTGGGTGGCTCAGTGGGTTAAACGTCTGCCTTCAGCTCAGGTCATGATCCCAGCGTCCTGGGATCAAGTCCCATGTCAGGCTCCTTGCTCAGCAGGAAGCCTGCTTCTCCATCTGCCTGCTGCTCCCCCTGCTTGTGCATGCTCGAGTTCTCGCTCTCTGACAAATAAAATCTTTAAAAGAAAGAAACACCTGAATGCTGCCCAGAGAAAGACTATATTGTATTAGGGTTCTCCAGAGAAACAGAACCAATGGGATATATATAGGTATATAGAAGGAGATTTCTTAGGATGGATTCACTCATGTTATTATGGAGGATAAGTCTCACAGTCTACTATCTACCCGCTGGAGGCCCTGGAAAGCCAGTGGCGTCATTCCAGTGCAAATCCGAAGGTCCGAAAACTGGAGGGCTGATGGTGTAAGTCTTAAGTCCAAAGGCTCAAGAACTGGAAGTGCTGGTGTCCAAGAACAGAAGATGGATATCCCAGTTCAAGCAGAAAGAGAGCAAATTTGCCATCCTACCTTTTTGTTCTATTCTGGCTGGCCTCAACAGATTGGATGAAACATTCCCCCCTCCCCACACTGACCCGCATTGGTGAGGACAATCTTCTTTACTCAGTCTACTGATTCAAATGCTAATATTTTCCAGAAATGTTCTTACAGACACACCCAGCAATAATGTTTTACCAGGTATCTTGGCATCCTTAGCCCAGTCAAGTTGATACACAAAATTAACCATCACAGGAACAATGGTAGAAACTACTGTGAAGAAGAGGATAAGGGTTATGGACGATACAAACGTAGGTTTGATGAAGCCCTAAGAATAGACGAGAATGGCTGAGAACTTTCTAGAATTGATGAAAAACACCAATCCATAGGTTAGAGGCCAGCAAATCCCAAGTAGGAATAATAAAAATACAAACCTAGACACATAGAGAAAATTCAGAAAATAATAAGACAAAACATTACCTTCAGAAGAATGACTTCTGAAACCAGTGGAATAATATCCTCAGTTGCTAAAAGAAAATAACTGCTGACTAGATGTCTACACACAGTGAAAATATCTCTCCAAGAATGAAGGTGAAATAAAGATATTATCAAAGAAACAAAAATAAGTTTATCATCACCAAATCCTCACTAAAGAAAATTCTTAAGGATGGACTTCAGGCAGAAGCAAAGTGAGCACAGATGGAAAGCCTAATATACAAGAAGGAGTGAAGAGCAAAGGACAAAATATATAGACAAATGTAGGTAAACATTGCGTGAAAGAGTAATGATGTTTTGTGGGACTTTATCAAAACAAAGTACAATATCACACTTCATAAGTTGCAAAATAAGAGTGTGTGGAAAATGGAGTTAAACCGTTTTAAGATCCTTAATGTTCAAAGGTTTTGTTTAACTTCAGACTTTGGTAATTATGTGTTTAATTTCCAAAGTAACCAGTAAAAATAGAGAAAGAGTATATAATTTACAAACTAAAAGAAGAGGGGAAATAGAATGATTATTATCATTTATGTTTAACAAGCTCATTTTAAGATATATAAAGAAATACAAAGGGCCAAGAATAGCCAAGGAGTTCAGGAAGCAAGTGAACAAGGTGAGAAGACTTACGGCTCTATCTGATCATAAAGCTCTGGTAACTGAAGATTGGCATTAATATATGTTCAGACAAGCAGATGGGACTGATAGAGAACCTGGAAACAGACCCATACACTTAGAAGCCTGCAGAGAGAGAAGAAAAGACAGACTTTTCAGTAAATGTATTTGATTATGAAATCAGCTCCAGGTGGATTAAAGAAAAGGCCTAAATGTCAAGGGCAAAACAAAATCTCCTGATTACTTGAGGTAGGGAAGGATTTTTATTTTTATTTTTTTTTAAAGACTTTATTTATTTATTTGACAGGGAGAGACACAGTGAGAGAGGGAACACAAGCAGGGGGAGTGGGAGAGGGAGAAGCAGGCTTCCTGTGGAGCAGGGAGCCCGATATGGGGCTCGATCCCAGGACCCTGGGTTCATGACCTGAGCCAAAGGCAGACACTTAATGACTGAGCCACCCAGGCACCCCTATTTTTATTTTTTTAAGATTTTTTTTTTTAAAGATTTTATTTATTTGAGAGAGAGAATGAGATAGCATGAGAGGGGAGAGGGTCAGAGGGAGAAGCAGACTCCCCGCTGAGCAGGGAGCCCGATGCGGGACTTGATCCCGGGACTCCAGGATCATGACCTGAACTGAAGGCAGTCGCTTAACCAACTGAGCCACCCAGGCACCCAAGATTTTATTTTTAAGTAATCTCTACACTGACCATGGGGCTTGAACTCACAACCCTAAGATCAAGAATCATACCGCTACTGACTGAGCCAGCCAGGCACCCCAGGATTTTTAAAAACAAGACCAAAAAGACACAGCCATGAAGGAAAATACTTATAAATTCAGTTAAATTAAAATTTAATTTTTTGGTTATCTAAAGAGTAAAAAGACAAGCCATGGAAGAGAGAAAAATATTTGTAACATGTATCGCTGAAATATGAAAAAAACTCATAATAAAAAGCAGACAACTCAATAACAACATTTCACAAAACAAGTGGTTCAATAAATATCTGAAAAGGTGCTCAACCTCATTGGTAATAAGGGAAATAAAACTCAAACCACAATGAAATATTGCTACACACCCACCAAATGGGCAAAATTTAAAAAAATTCAATGATACCAAGTGTTGCTAAGGAGGTAGATGACAGAACTCTCATACGTTGCAAGTAGTGATGTAAATTTAGTACCATCACTTTGGAAAAGAGTTTAGCATTTTCTAATAAAGATACACATATCCTGTGATCCAGCAATTTCTTTTTTTAAGATTATTTATTTGAGAGTGACAGAGATAGCAGAAGCGGGAGGAGAGGGAGAAGCAGGCTCCCCTCTGAGCAGGGAGCCCAACGTGGGGCTCGATCTCAGGACCCTGAGATCGTGACCTGAGCTGAAGGCAGATGCTTAACCAACTGAGCCACCCAGGTGCCCCGACCCAACAATTTCATTCCTAAGTATAGATACCCAAAAAAAAAATGCATATGTGCATTAAGTTATGTGTACAAGAATATTCACAGCAGCATTGTTCATAATAGCCTGAAACTGTACATTAAGAATGAAATGGATAGATTATGAATATTACAAACATGTAAACTTTCACCTGTAATAGCATGGATCAGTCCACAATATGGAAGGAAAGAAGACATAGAATATATACAGTGTAATTCAATTTATATAAAGTTTGCAAGCAGTAATACTAAACTGTACTGTTGATGGTGAGGGTGGCTGATTTACCTTAAAGGGCATGATAGTAAGTATTTTAGACATAGCTGTCATGTGGTCTCTCTCACAACCACAATGACTCTGCTCTGCCACTGGTGTAAAAGCAGCCCTAGATGGTTCATGGCTGTGTTCCAGCAAGAAGCAACCAATAGTTTATAGGTACATGTGTTGGAAATAAAATTACTTTTAAAAGGAAGAGGGACAAGAAAAAAGGGAAGGAAATGACCATAAAAGATAGAAAAGTTTACCTCTTGGAAGGAGGGATTTGTGATCAAGGTAGGGTAAACGGGGACTTATAGGATGCTGACAGTATTTTAGTGGGACTTGTATGGAGGTGGCACAGATATGTATTCACTTTATAGCTGTCTCTTGAATTCTACATAAAAGTTCTGTGTACAGTCATTTGTCACAATAAAGTTTTCAAAAATAAAAATAGTGCTTCTTTAAATGATTGTTATAATTTTATGCAAATTTTTTTTACATTTGAATTTATCTGCTTGTTTCTGAAATTTATATCAAAGAAATACTCCTAAAAGAATTTAAGTAGTAATATAAGGCTGTTGTTTTACATATGATTTCTCTTTAAAGATTTCTTTATGTTCTGTGTTTTGGGGGCTTTGAGATACAGATTGCAATTAATATCTTGGCTTATTTGTACCACAGTATTGACAGCTGTGCTCTTTTTGTCCTGTTCACAGGCTCAGTAGATGAAGGCGTCACTGAAGGGTTACCTACACTTCAAAGCACTTCTAGCACTAATGCTCATGCAGATGATGACGATCGGTTAGTACCGATGTAGTATGTCATGTTCTTACAAAGGGGTGTGTTTGCAACTGTAAATCCAAACATTTTAACTGGGAATTATATAAGAAGTTTATTGTACCTCATTTTATTTTTCAGAGTAAAGAGGTCATTACATCATGAATGAGACCACCTATACAGGGTTTTTTGACATTTTAAGACTGCCCAGGCCCATTACTTTTAAATAGTATCTATATCAGGGATCGGTGCACTGTGAACCACAGGCCAATTCCAGTTCACCACCTTTATTTGTAAATCAAGTGTTCCAGTAAAGCCATGCTCATTTGTTTATGTATTGCCTGTGAATGGCCAAGTTGAGTGGTTGAAACAGAGATCATGTGATGTGCAAAGCCAAAAATATTTATTGTTTGACTTACTACAGAGAACGATAGCCAAATCCTCATCTATATACCCATAATTCCCAAGTCATTATCTTCAGACTGTCCCTCCCTGCTTCATATTTCCGTGTAGATGTATAAGGGGCATTCAGACTTAACATGGCCAAGACTTCTAACTCCCCACCTAAATCCCGCTCATCTAGTCTTACCCATCTCTAAACAGCATCGTCATCAGTTAAATGTACAAAAGCACATCATTGAGAGAGAAATATTAAGAACTGTTTGGTATTTGGTATGTTTGGGGAATATGAGAAGAAATGAGGCTGGAAAAGTACACAGAACCCAGATCATAAGAATCTCCTATGCCTTCCAAAGGGGTTTAGACTTTGAAGGTAATGAGCCATTGCAGGATTTAAGAGGGGGCTGATTTAATCAGATCACTGAAACAGAAAGATGGATTTGGAGGGATGGGGGACTAAAGAGAGGGAGTTATTCAACTTGTATTGGTGAAGACCTAAATTAAAGCAGTATTAGGAAGGAAAGGATTAGAGAGATTAAGGATGCCTGAGATAAAATCATTTATGATATGTTACTTAAGATACTGGACATTCTGGACAATAACACTGTTTTTCATATTGCCATAAACGAAACTTTTAATATAACAGTTAAACTCTCAAAAAGTCATTTTTTTCTTTTGTTCATTTAAAGTTGTGCAGAAATGTTTATTCAACTTAAAAATCAGAATCTGGTTGCCTTCTTTGGTCTGTTTTTTAGATTGGAAAATGTTCAGTATCCCTACCAACTCTACATTGCTCCTTCTACCAGCAGTACAGAACGACCAAGTCCAAATGGTCCAGATAGACCTTTTCAGTGTCCAACTTGTGGGGTACGATTCACCCGTATTCAGAACCTAAAACAGCACATGCTCATCCACTCAGGTAATGTCACCTTCCCTATTGTTGTATAAATGAGTACTTGAAACATTATATTTAGAAATCCCAGTTAAAAATATAAAACAGGTGTTTTTGAGTTTAAAAAATAGGTTTCTGAGAAATCAGATAAGCCTTTGTTGCTTAAACGGTACAGTGTCAGAAAGCTGTTTGCTTATTAGCACATTTGCCACAGGCATAAGTATTCAGATTAAAATTTGAAGGGGTATGTGTGTATAATACATACATAAAAAGTATTTGATATTTTAGGTTTGTGTGTATATGTGCAATAGAGAAGCTCAAATACAGATGGTAGAGCAAATAAAATTAAAAGGGTATTTATTAGTGTTCTTTGTACCTTCTTGTAACTTCTCTTTACAGTTGGAATTATTTCCAAATAAGTGTTTTTTAAAATTTAATAACAATAATTTAATTTCAATTCTGTAATCCTAAATTTCTCTGTGCCCTGATTAGTCAACTTTGTAGTATTTTTTAGTATAAAAGAGATTTTTAATAAATGACGCATAAAACAGATTTGAAATTTAAGTTCAGTGATCATATAAAGGCAACAAAACTCTTGTGGGTAAAACACTGACCTCTGATAGAGTAAGAAATCTTTGCTACTGTTTTCAGCTGAGTTATTATCTTACTTTCCTGTGCCGTAGATAAGCCTAATAGTCCTTGAGCTAACATCAATTCCCTATGACTTTATTAAATCAACAGATTGTATTTTGAAGGTTTTTAAATTTTTTTTGCCAAATCTGTGATAATTAATTGGAAGAGACAATACACTTTAAAATTCACATATTAGTTTCTGCATATTTTTTCTATCACTTTACATTAAATGCCCCAAAACTCAATTCACCAAATAATAGTTCTACCATGATTATTATGTTCAGAGATGTTAGAATTTTCCTTTTTTCTTCTCATTTCTCAGGGAATGAGGAGTAGGTCCTTCTTCCATCTTTTCAGTATAAACTGTACTACTTTAATGAAATTGAAATAATGTTTTATGGAGATTTCAATTGTGTTTAAATACTGTGATTAAATTGTTTTGAAGTCTAGAAAATAGATGATTTAGAAGAATATTCAAAAATCAACTTCAGGGGCACCTGGGTGGCTCAGTTGGTTAAGCGACTGCCTTCGGCTCAGGTCATGATCCCGGGTCCTGGGATTGAGCCCTGCATCAGGCTCCCTGCTCTGCAGGAAGCCTGCTTCTCCCTCTCCCACTCCCCCTGCTTGTGTTCCCTCTCTCGCTGTCTGTCTCTCTCTGTCAATTAAATAAATAAATAAAATCTTTAAAAAAAAAAAAAATCAACTTCAGTATATATTAACGAGTTTACCTCTCCCTCTAATGCCTTTCTTTATTTTTTTTTTTAAGCACTAGTGACTTTTCAAATATTTTGTACCTTTTCTGAGATGTTGAATTGGAATCCATTTTTGCTGGTGATTTTTGTCTTTTTAAATTACCTATTGCTACAAAATTATAATTCAGAAATTTGTGGGGTTTGTGACCTTTCATTTTATTTTGTTTTTAGATAATACTTTGTTTTGCTTGATTTTGTAGGAATTAAACCATTTCAGTGTGACCGCTGTGGGAAAAAGTTCACCAGGGCTTACTCGCTAAAGATGCATCGCCTAAAGCATGAAGGTAAACGCTGTTTCCGGTGCCAGATATGTAGTGCCACTTTCACTTCCTTCGGGGAATATAAACACCACATGAGGGTTTCCCGGCACATTATCCGCAAGCCTCGGATTTACGAGTGCAAAACATGTGGCGCCATGTTCACCAACTCTGGAAATTTAATCGTGCACCTGAGGAGTCTGAACCATGAAGCGTCAGAGCTAGCAAACTACTTCCAGAGCAGGTGAGGTGCACAACAAAAACGAACCAGGAAAACTGCTGACTAAACTCTCTTTTCCTGCTTTTAGGGCAGCCTGCTGTGTTTTTTATCAGGTTGCCAGCTAATCAGTCACATTCCTTTTAAATTCCCACTGTCCATACTCTGATCTCCTGATCTGATAAAATTTTGCTGAATCTTCTAAGTATATACAATTATAAATATTTTTCTAGTTGGTATTAGAAATTTTTCCCTACAGAAGTAGACTACTTACTTCTTGCTTTGTCTTTTTTGTTTTGTTTTTTGTGTTTTTGTTTTTTCAATGACATAAGGTTAAATTAATATAGACCTTATTGGAAAATTTACCATGTCAGATGATCTTAGTGGTACTGAATTACTTCAGACTCTTTGGATGTCAATAAAATTTTTGACCACTTCTCATTTTTTAAAATTCTATATAAAGGAACATATATTTACCAATAAAGAAAGAATCTTCAACAGCAACTATGATGGATATGATCATTTAGATCAAATTTCCTTTTTCTCTCAATTTAGAGCTCCATGCTTTTAATATTAATAATTTATTATAATAGAGTTCCTTTCTGATTTATAGAGTATCCAAGGAAATCAGGTTCTAGTTCTGGCTCTACCACACTAACTGCTGTTATGTTTGAACGTGTCACTTTATAAATGAAGAAGTTTGAAACAGAGAGAAAGATAAAATGTAAGCTTTAAAGATGATTTCTAAGGTCTCTAGATATAAAATTCTGTCATCTTTTTTAATATTTTATCAGAACTACAGATCTGTAGGAATCCTTTGTTTTTTATAAAATGAAATCTTCCTAAACTCTTAAATTTTAAACCATCTTCATTTTTTAAATCTTATTTTTCAATAAATTCCAAAGTATTGCTGCATAGATTTTGTTTTTCTCTCCAAACCTGACATTCATTTTGCTTAATTATGTCTGTCTGGTTGTCTTATTACTAAACCTAAATTCTACATGTCATATCAAACCTTGTTTGTTCAGAAGTGAAATAGCGTCTCAGTTAACCGCTCCTATTGCTTGTGTCTTCCCTGTGCAGAGTCCTCTGTCGTCTGTGCCTCCTATCTAACACCTGAAGACTTTTTAGAAAATACAACATAGGACATTTTAAATTGCTTGCAGATGAACAGATTTTAATTTTTTTATTAATACTGGACAAATTATAAAATAACCTTCTTAAATGTATTACTGACATTCTTAGTAGAATGAACTTCTTTTAGTTCAGCAATATTTAATTAAAGCATCTAAGATTTAAATGTTCTTTTACAAAAAAATGCATATAGTAGAAAATTAGTAAATGTAGGAAAGTATAAAATATAAGAAATTTAAAATTTTTCTGATCTCACCACTCAAGGATAATACCCACTGTTGTTAAAATCTTGGTATATTTTACTGTCCATACTCAAAAATTAAATATTTAATTATTCTAATAGAATATTAAATATTTTCAATACTAATAAATACCTCTCAAATATAATGCCATTTATGCATAAGGACTTAGTTTCTTAACTAACTTATATCCAGGAAGTAATAAAAAGCTAAGTTTATATACCTCTTAATTAGTATATAATCCAAGAAAAGTTAAGCATAAGTATAAATGATCTTTGCTTAAGTGGAGAGCATGCTAATCGCATTTGTTTGTATACAGAAACTCTTCTATATAGAACAAGAAAGGCTATTTAGGTGTCTAAAATGACAATGAAGGTGATAATCTTATCTGTTGGTGGTAGAGAGAGTTGATGTGCTTTGGTTCTTATGAATGGTTTTGGTTCATATTTAGGAAAGTTTAGAAATTGAAAATCCTGAATTATAATCAGTCACGAATTAGAGAAATGAAAAATCCCAATCTTGCTTTACAAATCAGGTCTTTTTATTGTGGCTAATTTATTACTGGTTTGAAAATTAACTCCCTCTTTCATCCTTTGCCTCTTATCTAGTGATTTCCTAGTACCGGACTACTTAAACCAGGAGCAAGAAGAGACCCTTGTTCAGTATGATCTTGGAGAACACAGTTTTGAAAGCAGCTCCTCTGTTCAAATGCCTGTAATTTCGCAGGTCTCCTCGACCCAGAATTGTGAAAACACTTTCCCCTTGGGGTCTCTTGGTGGGCTGGCAGAAAAAGAGGAAGAAATGCCAGAGCAGCCAAAGACCAGTGCTTGTACTGAGGCAACCAGAGATGACCCCCCAAAATCAGAGCTGTCTTCTATAACCATTGAGTAATTTCATGGTTTGGCTTCATTTTTGGTTTTTGGAAAGTGCCTGTGCTTGGTCTTGTACATTTAAATTTAATTTAATTTTTTAAACAAAAAAGGGTTTGGGAAAGAATTTCCCTTTTTACTTTGTAAGCCCCACAATTGATGTTTTATTTTTCATGACTGAGAGATTGCTTCTGTAAGTGCACAATAACATGATGTTGAAACATAATTGAAACCATGAAACTTAAGGAGAACCAGTTGACTTAAGGCATATATCAGTTTCTTCTTCTATTATTAAAAATAGGCTAACGAGATCATTAGGTAAAGAAGAATTCAGACGATTGTTGACCTTCTTGAGAAGAAAGGGTACACCAGAAACAAATTACTGAACAGAATTTGACAGGTAGCCTGAATAGATGTTTACTCCTATTCACAGGACATTGTACAATATTTTGTAAAGCCTGTTGGTTTTGGAAATATTTACGGTAAGCTTTCTTAAAAATTATTAGGGTAAATAGTTCTGAAATCCAATGTACTCTTTTTTTTTTTTTTAAGCTTTGCCATTTCTATTATTTTTCATGGTTAAAATTTGGTGTTGGGATAGGCATTCCCTGAACTTTTTTAGTACCACTCCAAATAATCTTTCTTCTGTGAAATCAGAGAAACATGATTGAGAATAGTCAGGCTGTGCATGGAATGACCAGGAGTGGAAAATGAAGTACATAAATCTCAGCTTTATAGGAACTCTTTTAATACTGCTTTTCTGACTAAAATGGTTGTTTACCTGGTCTTTGAATGTTAGTGCCTGGCTAATTAGGTCATTGCCTAAATCATTTTTCCTCTTGCCCCATGAACAGTACTTCCTCTTACATATACTGGCATGATATCATATAAAGGAAAAATATTGGAGATACTCTATATTTTATATATAGGTTTATGTAATCTTGGGGATGTTTCTATTGTGCTGATTTGGGCAAAATAAAAGAATTCTCTCTTAAGGCTACGTTCTTAACCCAACTAAGATTGTTTACAAAGTTCAATATGTCGGTGATACTTTGTTTTTTGTTCCAAAATATTTTTAGACATTGCCAAGTTTATTAAAAGGGTTAATGTAGTTTTTACACAACGTAAGCAATAATGTAAAAGATAAGAAGAGGCTTTAATGATCTATGACTCATCAATCTAGGAGAAAAAAGAATCGTTAAGACAAAAAACTAAAAACCTTAAATTAATATCACCTCTTTTGCTGCTAAAAAATGAAACTTCCTGTTTATAGTTGAAATTTATGTGATATTCTAGACTGGAGTATACTTTTCATCTGGTGCCATTAAAGCATCACTGATCTTGATCCTAAATATTCATGAGTCCATGAACAATGAACTTCTGAATAACTTTTTTTTTCTTTGTATATACCCAAAGTTTAATAATTATGAAAACACCTGATTAAATTAGAAAAAGAAACTAAATAGTTTCTTATTCAAAACACGAGATCTGAATTTTATCCGGGTGCTAGACCTTAATAATAAAATTAGTTTTTAAGTTATAGTGATTTTACTTGTTTCATTTTTTTTTAATTGGCTTAATTCTGTGATTGATTTTCCTCCCACAATTGTAAAGGAAGGGAAATAAATGCATTGAAGATTTTTTTTTTCCAGGTAACATTCTTTTCTAGATGCTGTTTTTAACATGTTTCTAACTCCTTATCTCCGTCTTGAACCTGTTTTCCCCCTTTGCTCCCAAACATAGGTATATTACCTTCAGGAAGAACAACATACACAAGTTATGATGGGCTTCCACCATTTATGCTTCTTTACTAAAATAGGGTTGAATTACTTTTTTACAACAGACTGTGATACTTAATTAGTAACAGTACTGCTGTGTCTCAACTAGAAAGGTCAGGAATTTTTATTTTTAATGTCATACATATTCTTGAAAATTGTTATGCCTACCAATGGATAAACCTTGGAGTTAATTTTTAAAATCTTATATTGGTAAAACAAAGAATAGGTAAAATTATGACCAGGAATCATTGTTGCCTTCAGTTCTAAGAATTTTTGTGGTGTTTTTTGTTGTTGTTGTTGTTGTTTTTTAAGGAAGTAAAAAGGAAGGAGGGAAGAAAAAAAGAGAAATAGGGTTAAAGAAAAGAAAACTGGGGATTTGTATGGTTGAAAGTGTTTAAGCACATCCCCTATCCTGAGAACTCTATGTTAAAAGAGCCCACAATTTTGGCAGTTCTGAAGTGGTCTGTGTTCTCAGAAATGTAGGATTACCACTACTGGCTATTCTTTCCCAAATGGAAACTTTAGAGGTTTTCATTGGTAATTACAAATTATTACAATGCACAGATTTCCAGGTTTAATGAAAAATTTGAATATATTATGAAAATGTATACTTGGTTTGTTTATTCCCCAAATCTTATCAATACAGGTAGCTAACAAGTATTTAACATAAAATGATATATAAACAAAGGCCTTTTTTCTCTTTCACTGAGGCTCCACATTTTTCTTGATAGACGGTTTAAGGATTTTTAGCTTATGGATCTGTTTTAGGAAACTAAGCTGCAAGCGATAATTGTATATAGTGTTATTTAGGTTTATTTAAAATTCATCGAAGGGGGGGATACCTGAATGTATAAGTTTTACCAGAATATATGGAAAACATTGCAAAGAGATGAAAGCCAGTTATATTATCCCATCCGTTAGAAATTGCCAGTGAAACTAAATAAAAAATTCCAGTTTAGAATACTTAAGCATAGCTGTCTTTGTTAAGGCCCAAGAGGGTAACTTTGTGATATTTAAAGGGCTTAAATTTTAGGATGTAGGATAAATTGCCTTTTTAAAACCAAGTATTTTATACAAGAAAAGCATTTATTTTCCATTTTTATGCTACCAAAAAGGTGTGATACACTTTAGAAATGAGTAAAGATGCTCGCTGTGATACTGGACGTTACAGCTCCTACAGTCATTCTTTCCATTTTTAGGAGTGTATTCTAACAGGGGAAGCATCTAGCATGACAGTGATTGTAATAATTCAGAAACAAAAGGATTAATATTGTTTTTATTTCAAGTTTTTTATAAATGGATATAGATGGAGATTATCATCCACAAATACACTTAAATGAATTTCTTTTATTTGGAATTTCAAGTAATCTTCTTAATTTGTATTTCACATAATTAGTTGCACATTTAGTTACATTGTTAAAGTTCTCAATTTCAGTGAGTCAAAGTGTACTAAATGTTTAAATAGCCTCATTCAGTCTTATATTTTAACCTTTCATCAACCATTCTGGGTTAACTAGTTTGGTTCCAAGTTATGACACATGCCCTTTGGTTTTAAAAACAAACAGAAAAATTTGCGTTTTGTTAAAATATTTTATCAAATGGAATGGACTAGTCAGCATATCTAATGCAGCATCATTAGTAGCTCTGTTACTTCTGACTCCTGAGCCAGACTCTCCCCATTGTATAAATGATTCCCTGGGAAACTTTGGAAGCTGTATTAACACTTTCAGTCTTTTATTTGATCTCTCACTATTTTTGTACTCAATCTAAATAGAGGCCAATTATTTTTTTTAGCGGCTTTTATTTTAAAGATTCCCTGATGAATTTTAGTCTCTTAGCTTTGTAGTCCCTGAAGAATACATTACTTTATAAGGTAATGGCAACTCTGTACAATACCACATGGAGAGAATCATGGTTATTGCTCAATGAATGAACAATCCTGAAACTGTAATATCTTAAAGGAGTTTGAGATTTGATGAGTCGATGAAGAGAATTAAATTCACTCATCTGCGAAATGTGAAGTTATAACTGAAATATACATCCAAGTGAGGGAGAATAGTTTCCTGGATATTAATATTAACTGGGGGGGTTGACTAGTAAAGTTTGCATTTGGAAGCGATCCAAAGTTGCTAAAAGGTAATAAATGTGATTTTCACTCTAAGTTATTGACATAAGATACTTTATTTATAATATATTCAGATTTTTAAAGTAACTGAGAGAAGAATTTATAGAAACTATGGATTTTTCTTTTCTAAAGCAGTGGAACAAAATTGGGAAGAGTTCTATTATAGTAAACACATGAGGAATATTTATAGCTAAGAATACTCCTTTAGCTTTAAGCTAAAATGGTCAAAATTTAAATTTATTTTTTATTTTGCTTATACCCACTTTTTTAGTGTCATTTTGCTTGACTGAATGTGGTGATATAAGCTGTTTTTATTTGGAAAGTCCTCAGCAGGCTGAATTTGCCAAAAGCAATAATGGTTCAGATTAAACAATGAAGTGGAATTGAACCAATTTCCAGGTTCAACTAAGGAACAGACATTCTGTGGATATTTTTTCGTAGATTATAAATATATTGAGATTTATTAATGGGGGAGTTAAGCTTAGATTATGGGATGTAGACTCTTAGTGACATCCTAGTTGTACTTTTTTTTTTTTTTTTACCTCATACTAATACAGTTAGAGATTTCCACTACATTGTAGTGATTATATTTTTATGATAGAAAAAAACAGTTCCAGGTCTTTACAAATAGTCTCTGCAGAGATGTCAGACGATATTATTGGAATCTCAGTTTGGCAGTATCCAAAATACGAAACTGACTTAAAGTGCTCATACTACTTTAAGTAAGCTTCCTCTGTGCAGGCCCCTTGCCAGTTACAACTAATACCAAGGTTCCTGTGTACATAATAGTTTACAAAGAATTTAAAAGTTGAGACCATTGACTGAAAACAAAAACTTTAAAAAAATTTTTTTTGAACTTTAAAACTTTTAATTTCAGTTTGAAGTGCCTGGTTTATAAAATCTAATTCTTTGATTATTGCCTTTCTCTTTTAAATTGACTGATTTTGCTAAGTAAGCTTAAAGCCCTGGGTTCAGTTGTGAGGATTTATTGACAAAATCGCTGCTTGATGGTTTGAGGGGCTCGTGTCATGACTTTTATTAAATTATCTTTGTTTTTCCAAATGCTGGTCTAACTATATCCAGATTTCATAATCCAGTTAAACAAGCTAAAAAATCATCCTGTAATTGAATGTTCAGGTTACCAAAGTACATCACCTTCTAAGGAAGGATAAATCTTCCCTACTTTAAGAGGAGCCAGTCATCTCCCCTTAACACGTTTCCATTGGCATTAGTGGAAGCTGTGTTCATTTAAAGGTGGGAAGCCTTTCGTGCAGTTCCTAGAAACATGTTTTCTAGAGAGAACCCTTTCTATGATTAGGTTATAAATATGTTTTCTCTAAACTTTGTTTTATTTCAGTTATCAATTTAATTTTCAAGTTGATAGATGCTGTGTAAAGTCTCTCATACTGAGAGTAGTCCATTAAATTACTGAAAGTTGCACTGCTTTTCATCTTTCAGGTGCCTAAAATGAATGCCACCAGGTATTTGGAAGGACTAAGATCATAAACTGTATTCTTTTCTTCCTTATACAGAGGGATGGCTTCTAATGCATGTATTTCAAGATAAAAAGAAAAAAACGGTCCCTAATAAGAGTAAATTTTGGTTTTAATCCAAGTCCCAATAATATATTTGATTTTTCTGTTGTTCCTGGTGCCTCTTCTTGCATCAGATAGAGATTGCCTGCCTCTTGTGGCACCTTATGTCCAGTTGGAAGATAGTATATGGCTTCTTTGTGCCTCTACTATCTTTTCAAAAGCCATTTTATAAAAATCCTAGGTAGCCTATTTTAATATTTAAATATATATATTTGTGAGATACTTTTAGAACAGACTTTTTTTTTTTACTTTGAATTACCTGAATTCTCATTTTTAAGAGTAAATTAAAA